CCAAAAAAGTATTTGTGGCAACATCAGACAGGTGCTATCCCAAGGAAGCAGATCTTGATTCGTAAACAAGATGTGACTCAATAATCAAAACAGAGAAGTGGGTTCACTCAAATATCTAGAGTTTAAAATAATTCCATTTAACAGGTTTAACAACATGCAACACACACCCTCTAGTTGGCAGAAACACTTCTCAATGACAAAGACAGGTAGCAAATACTAAACACCTCCATAGACCATTCAGCAATCAGTGAACGACAGCTAACCCTTGAAGGTGAATTCAGAATCAAATCAAACCTCAAAGACAGATTTGTTTTTCAGGGAAGCATGGATTCCATTGAATTCCAGGTTCAGATCAAAACGAGAAGTTGTGCTACATTAAGAAACTGGCCCAGAACCTACAAGGAAGTTACGTGGAAGGAAGAGATGAAAAGCCCTTAGCTAAGATTTAAATTGCATATGTTGTTTTCTTTACTAAAATCAGTGCCAGGTGGGCCTTGCTGATGTTACTTTCCCCTTCAGGGATTCATCCTTGTTTTTGCAGAAAAAGGATTATAGTTGAAGTCACCTGAAAGCTTCCTAGGACACTAATGTTTCAAAGGGAAGGCTCATAAGAAGAATAAGGAAGTTACTTCTGTGTCTTCAGTAATGTTCATCCAAACCAGTTTTCATTATCTCTCAAGGGATAAGAACCCTCAAATACAGCACATTCATTCACAGTAAGGTAACAAATTGAAATAAGCATCTTATTTACTTTCTTATCTGTCTCTCAGTCTTTCATTGGGTAATTTACAGGACCCATTGTCATAAATTGTCCCCATTTCTATTTTCTTCATTAACACTAGACCTATAGCAATGGAGATAAAGGCTTAATTTAGAAATACAGGAATTACACACCAGAAGACATACAAAATCTGAACACACCCATAACTAGTGAAGAAATCGAATCAGTTATCAAAAATCTCCCAACAAATAAGAGCCCTGGAACAGATGGCTTCCCTGAGGAATTCTACCATACATTTAAAACAGAATTAATACCCATTCTTACCAAGCTATTCCAAAAAATAGAAATCGAACGAAAACTTCCAGACTCATCTTATGAAGCCAGCATCACTTTGATTCCCAAGCCAGACAGAGACCCAGCAAAAAAAGAGAACTACAGGCCAATATCCTTGATGAATACAGATGCAAAAATCCTCAACAAGATACTTGCAAATCGAATCGAACAGCACATAAAAAGAATTATCCACCAAGGTCAAGTGGGATTCATTCCTGGGTTACAGGGCCAGTTCAATATTCGCAAATCAATCAATGTGATACATCACATCAACAAAAGAAAAGATAAAAACCATATGATCCTGTTGATAGATGCAGAAAAAGCATTTGACAAGATACAGTATCCCTTCTTAATAAAGACCTTCAAGAAAGTTGGGATGGAAGAAACTTACTTAACATCATTAAAACCATCTATGAGAAGCCTTCAGCTAACATCATCCTCAATGGGGAAAAACTCAGAGCTTCCCCCCTGAAATCAGGAACACGACAGGGATGTCCACTCTCACCACTGTTGTTTAACATAGTGCTGGAAGTCCTAGCATCAGCCATCAGACAACAAAAGGAAATCAAAGGCATCAGAATTGGCAAAGAAGTCAAATTCTCACTTTTCACAAACGACATGATACTCTACATAGAAAACCCGACAGACTCCACCAGAAGCCTACTAGAGCTGATCCATGAATTCAGCAAAGTTGCAGGATACAAAATCAATGTACAGAAATCAGTTGCATTTTTATACACCAACAATGAAGCAACAGAAAGAGAAATTAAGAAACTGATCCCATTCACAATTGCACAAAAACCCATAAAATACCTAGGAATAAACTGAACCAAGGTTATAGGATATCTGTATGATGAAAACTATAGAAAACTTATGAAAGAAATTGAAAAAGGCACAAAGAAATGGAAAAACATTCCATGCTCATGGATTGGAAGAATAAATATTGTTAAAATGTCAATACTACCCAAAGCAATCTATGATAAACATTCAATGCAATCCCAATCAAAATTGCACCAGCATTCTTCTCAAAACTAGAACAAACTATCTTAAAATTTGTATGGAACCACAAAAGACCCAAATAGTCAAAGTAATATTGAAGAAGAAAACCAAAACGGGAGGCATCACCATCCCAGACTTTAGCCTCTACTACAAAGCTGTCATCATCAAGACAGTATGGTATGGGCACAAACACAGACACATAGACCAATGGAATAGAATAGAGAACTCAGATTTGGACCCAAAAGTGTACAGCTAACTAATCTTTGACAAAGCAGGAAAGAGTATCCAATGGAAAAAAGACAGCGTCTTTAACAGATGGTGCTGGGAGAACTGGACCATACACAAAAATAAACTCAAAATGGATAAAGGACCTGAATGTGAGACAGGAAACCATCAAAACCCTAGAGGAGAAAGCTGGAAACAACTTCCTTGACCTCAACCACAGCAATTTCTTACCTGACACATTCCCAAAGGCAAGGGATGCAAAAGCAAAACTGAACTATTGGGACCTCATCAAGGTTAAAAGCTTCTGCACGGCAAAGGAAACAATCCATAAAACTAATAGGCAACCAACGGAATGGGAAAAGATAGTTGCAAATGACATATCAGATAAGGGCTAGTATCCAAAATGTATAACCAAACCCCACACCCAAAAGCAATCCAGTGAAGAAATGGGCAAAGATATGAACAGACACTTCCCCAAAGAGGACATCCTGATGGCCAACAGACACATGAAACGATGCGCAGCATCCCTCCTCATCAGGGAAATACAAATCAAAACCACACTGAGATACCACCTCTCACGCCAGTCAGAGTGGCTAAAATGAGCAAATCAGATTACTCTAGATGCTGGCGAGGATGTGGAGAAACGGGCACCCTCCTACACTGTTGGTGGGAATGTAAACTGGTGCAGCCCCTGTGGAAAACAGTGTGGAGGTTCCTCAAAAAATTAACAATAGAACTCCCCTATGACCCAGCAACAGCACTGCTAGGAATTCACCCAAGCGATACAGGAGTGCTGATGCACAGGGGCACATGTACCTCAATGTTCATAGCAGCACTCTCAACAATAGCCAAATCATGGAAAGAGCCTGAGTGTCCATCAACTGACAAAAGGATCAAGAAGATGTGGTTTATCTATATGATGGAATACTACATGGCAATGAGAAAGGATGAAATCTGGCCATGTGTAGCAACATGGATGGAACTTGAGGGTGTTATGCTAAGCGAAATAAGTCAGGCAGAGGACAGATACCATATGTTTGCATGTATAGGAGGATTAGGAGGAGCTTAATGGAGGACCATGGAGAAGGGGAAAAACAGTGGGGGAGAGAGAGGGAGGCAAACCATGAGAGACTCTTGAATGCTGAGAACAAACTGAGGGCAGATGGGGTGGGGGGAAAGGGATGGGGGGTGATGGGTATGGAGGAGGGCACCTGTGGGGATGAGCACTGGGTGTTATATGGAAACCAACTTGACAATAAACTATTCAAAGAAAGAAAGAAAGCACAAGAATGGTCTGTACTGTAGGAAAAAAATCATTTTCCAGGAAATTTGCATTGATATAATTGCAAATGTACTATTAAATTCCATAGTGAGAATCAACAACGGCCTGATTCAATCAGCTACGCATTTGCAACAGCTTTGAGATGAAAATTAGATGAATTTTAACAGTAAATTGTGAAACCGAAAGTGTTTATAGCAGTCCTACAGCTATGTATCATCATATTTCAGCTGATTTCATTTGTAATACTCACTGAACCCGAGCAACATAAAAAAGTTTAGTTTTTTCAGAAAAAAAAAAAAAAAAGAACTACCCTGATGCTGAGACTCTATTTCTTTCCCTAAATTATCTGTCACTCTCTATACTATCTGTTTAATGAAATGCCTTTAATTTTATAAATCAAATGAGAACATTTGTGAAAGTAATTTAATCACACTTGGAACAGAGTACAAAATGATGCTAATCATACCGCCCAGTCATAAATATGGCTTCCCCCATGGTCACCTGAGAACTAGATTCCAAAAACAGTTTCAAGAAAACTCTAAATTTTAAGCCCAGAAAGTAGAATTGTATCCTTATCTATTGCTGGCTCTACTTACCAACTTTCTGTGAAATAATACTCAAACAATTTTCAGCAACTGACTTAAAGAAAACTGCCAGCTCCTGCTGTTTTAGATGAAACCAATATCCAGAGTACTCCTGACTTCAGTCTCACTTTCCCCAACCTCACTCTTCCCCCTCCTCCTCCCCCAACCCCCCTCCCCATCTCACACACCCCGGAAAGCACTTTGAGCTCAATCATAACCATCTGTACCTCTGCTCAAGCCTTGCTTCCTCCCTAGAATACTCTCTTTTCATTCCCGGCCAATTACATCCCCAACCCCACTGTAAGTGGCTGCTCAAAATTCATTTCCCTATGGAAGTGTTCTCTGATTTCTCTCACTGGGCATGCTATGTGTCGGACACTTTTGTATAATTTTGCACAGTTTTGCACAGATCAATTCATCTGTAATGTCTTGCCAATTTTTGGTGTCAGCTCTGATGTCCTCTACCCAGCCCCAGTCACAGCCTCACTAGGATCCTGCGACACTTGCACACGGTCGGAAGGATCACCTTCGAGGTGTCCTGGCACAGTATTTTCAGCAATTTGATATCCTGATTGAACTGTAGTCCTGCGGCAGGCATTTTTGGTGAAACAGAGCCAGGGGGCAGGATTACGGAGAAATCCTGGCTCCAGAAGTCAGCTCAGCGGAGTAGGGAATGGAGCTGGGGACGCTGAGATGACGGCTGGAGAAAAGGCGCAGAAGTGGAGGCCAGAGGGTTGGGAGTAGACGGCAGGGTCGGGCAGAAGTCAAAAGGAGGGCGTGTCCGGAGGTCTGGGGAGTTGCCCCCCGGGCAGGACCTCTCAGAGCCGGGAACGAGGCGGGGGCAGGTCCGACTCACTTGTGCGTTCAGGAGGCTGCCAAGAGCCGGAGCCGAAGAGCAGGTCGCGGTAGCGCTGGAAGGCCTCGTCGAGGACGGAGCAGCCCGGCTGTGCGGCCGAACGGACGTGGTACTGGAACCGGAAGTTGTACGGGAAGATGGCATAGTGCGAATCGGAGGTTTGGATGTACTGGGGCCAGGGCCAGAGGGCCTGCGCCCGGCCGGCGAACGCTGCCGCCAGCAGCAGCGAAAACCAGAGCCCGGAGCCCGCCATGGCCCGCCGGTCTCCGCGCTCCCGGCCGGCTGGGCCACGTGAGCCCCCGGTCAGCTGAGCGGCGCCCGCGTGACTATCCGCGTGCCACGTGACCGGCAGCCCCTCCCCCCCCTTCCTTACGCTGCGACCCCGGAGGACCAGCTCCCTGTGCCCCTCCTCTCCCGGCGCGGTGCGGCGGTGACCGAGACGGCCCCGCGGCCGCGCCTCCGGCGACCTGGACCTAGAGGCGCGCAGAACGGCGCGGGCGCCAGGTGGGGGGCGGCGTGGGCGTGCGGGAAGGGACAGTCTCCCAGGCTGAAGCGCGAACGAGCTGGGAGGTGGAGGACGACCCGGGCCCAGGGAAGTTCAGAAGCAGGAAGGCGGGAGGATGAAAGCCACAGGTCGTGGTGATGTGAAATGCTGTGGGGGTGGGAGGGGGCTGGAATTGGAGAGTCTGACTGGCTCTGCTTGAGAGGGATCACGAGGTCACAAAAATGTGATGTATTTATGACTGGAAAAAGATCTACTTTTCAGAGCGAGCTGGAGACATCCCGTTCCATGCTTCTAGTGTGGCCTCTTCCCTTGATGGTTGATAATCTCTTAGTAATTGCCCCCAAATCCCCTCCCCCAAAACAGTATATACTTTCTGCAAGCATTTAGACCCTGCTTAGACTTTGGGTGCAAGATTGGGAATACCCCGAGCTAAAGACAGGCCCCTGCAGGGGCTTACATAGCAAGCCCAAGAGTCAACACTGTATTCTGTGGGCAATTGAAAAGCATCCCAAAGACTTGCATTTTAGCAATGTCGTGTTGAATGGTTGCATGAACAAACCAGTTAAGGGACCCTTTTTGTTTTCTTTCATAGTTTATTGTCAAATTGGTTTCCATATAACACCCAGTGCTCAGCCCAAGTGCCTTCCTCCATGTCCATCACCCTCCTTCCCCTCTCCCCCGCCCCAATCAGCCCTCAGTTCTCAGTATTTAAGAGTCTCTTATGGTTTGCCTCTCTTCCTCTCCCCAACTATTTTTCCCCTTCTCCTCCCCCATGATCCCCGGTTAGGTTTCTCCTGTTCCACTTATAAGTGAAAACATATGGTATCTTTCTCTGCCTGACTTATTTCGCTCAGCATAACACCCTGGAGTTCCATCCACGTTGCTGCAAATGGCCAGATTTCATTCCTTCTCATTGCCATGCAGTATTCCATCGTATAGGCAAACCACATCTTCTTGATCCGTTCGTCAGTTGATGGACACTTAGGCTCTTTCCATGACTTGGCTCTTGTTGAGAGCGCTGCTATGAACATCGGGGTACATGTGAAGGGGCCCTTTTTTTATTGGAGGTGTAAGATAAGAACAGCTTGAACAGCTGTACAGCAGGAAGAGGACTGTATGTAGATCCAGGAAGTGATGGGTATCCAGAAACAGAGGGGTAAATACAAGAGCATTAGGTCAAAGTATGACTTCAGGACTGAGCATGTGGGAAGGCACCCTTTTACGTGACATTCAACATGTACCAAGGGAAAGGAGTCATTTACTCATGTCACAGAATGAAGGAGCTGAACTCCGAATAAAGAGAGTGTAAAAATTACTAATAAAAATACAATTTAAAAAAATTTTTTTAATGTTTATTTAATTTTGAGAGAGTGACAGAACAGGAGTGGGGGAGGAGCAGAGAGAAGGGAGAAGGGAGACACAGAATCCAAAGGAGGCTTCTGGCTCTGAGCCGTCAGCACAGAGCCTGATGCAGGGCTCGAACCTACCAACCGCGAGATCATGACCTGAGCTGAAGTCGGACGCTTAACCAACTGAGCCACCCGGGCAGCCCGAAAATACAAAGATTTTTGTTGAGAGAATATTTTAAACATATTAACCTCTTTCTAACAAATATATCAATCAGAAAACTAATGAACAACCATTAAAAACTTAAAAAAAGCCATAATCCATATGAATGTTTAGAAACCAGGGGCGCCTGGGTGGCTCAGTCAGTTAAGCGTCCGACTTCAGCTCAGGTCATGATCTCACGGTTCGTGGGTTCAAGCCCCACGTCAGGCTCTGTGCTGAAAACTCGGAGGCTGGAGCCTGCTTCAGATTCTGTGTCTCCCTCTCTCCCTGACCCACCTCTGCTCACACTGTCCCTCTCTGTCTCTCAGAAATAAATAAAAAACATTAAAAAAATTTTTTTTAAATAATAAAAAAGAAACCAGATAGAGATAGTGGCAAAAATTAAAGTTACTTAACAATACGAATTCTTTAAGTTAGTATATATACAATGTTGCTATCAATTTTTTAACAGATGAATAACAAGAATAAGGACACAGATAATATAGTATATGATATTTGGTTGTTTTTTCTATTTTTCCTTTTATTAAAGAGAGCTTGCTAAGTGAATGAAACATGACTTAATTTCATATCTATAGCTTCTAGTAAAATTAGTTTACATTATCAGAAAAATAATTCACTATCAGACAGCGTGTCCAGAATTTTAATTCATACACTCATTGTAGAAGCAGAGAGGAGGGAATGACTAAATTTTGCCTGGGGAAGTCTTTCACAAAGGAGGTGACTTTCCTGCTGGCTCCTAAAGCACGAGTTTGCCAACCAGGGAAGGGGAGCATGGGCAAAGCACAGAGTGAAAAAAGATGGCATAGGGTGGCTCAGTTGGTTGAGCGACTTCAGCTCAGGTCATTATCTCACTGCTCGTGAGTTCGAGCCCCGCGTCAAGCTTTGTGCCAACAGCTAGCTCAGAGCCTGGAGCCTGCTTTGGATTCTGTGTCTCCCTCTCTCTCTGCCTTTCCCCCACTCACACTCTATCTCTCTCTCAAAAATGTATAAATGTTAAAAAAAATTTTTTAAAGATGGCATATAGGTATACCTGCTTTTTGAAAGTTGTTATTAAGCCACTTCGCTTTTATGAAAAACTGACATCACGTTAGGTACTGTTTTTGCCAGAGAAATCTGGAGAATTTTCGTTTTTTCAAAAAAAAAAAAAAGGCAAAAAAATGAAAATAGTGTTCAGTGTTTGCTTTGCGGCAAGCCGTTATAGAGGCAGTGTGTGCCCCCATGCAGCAAGAGTGGCCTCTCAAGCCCCTTCTCTGGGAACTACGTTCAGCCGCCACAGCTCCGAACTGTGCCTGTGAGCATCTGGGCTTTGTCTCAATTTATTTTGGGCCTCCATTAGCAAGATGTGTCCTAAGGTATGAGAAAAGCCTCAGAGAGGTTACTTTTTTGGTCTGGGAATGCTCGAATTAAAATTTTCCGTATAAATTAAGGGTAATTGCTGCTTCTTTGCTTTTCATTATTTTGATTTATGAAAGGTTTCATAGGAATGCTCTACTTTCAGATAGTGGAGGGCCTGTATCAAGCATAGGGCTTATGGGGATAGCAAAAGGAGATGTGCCACGATTATCTCACTTCTACCATATGTCTTCTCCCTGGAATGCCTTTCCCACCTCCTGCTCCCACTCCACCTACTTGAAGGTCCAAACTTCTATTTTTACTACTCTGTAAGTCTCTGACTTCTCAGACTTGGGTAAAATCCCATAACCCTTTGAGCCTATCTCCACTAGAGCACTTATGTCACAGTATTGTTATTGCTTGTCCATTTGTCTGTCTTCTCCGCTAGAGTAAAAGCTCCTTAAGCACAGGTTCTGTGTTCACTGCTGTATTCCTAGCCCCAGGCACATCGTCTAGCACATAGCTTAATAAAGACTTGTTAAATGAACACCTACAGGATTCTGAATATCTTTTCTCCAGTTTCGCATCCACTTATCCTTCAGGCCTTTGCCTAGACCAGACCAGCAAGTATGCTGTGACTGGGGTACGAGTCTGCCGAGATAGTGATCGTCTCAATCCTTAGGGTGGCCAGGCAGAGCCTGGGGCAGCTAGACATCCTAGCCAGTCACCTCCAGCCAAGAGCCTTCTGCTATATGTGCTGTGAGAAACTTTGAGAAGCACTTAGAACATCACTTCCTTTTGGGTGCTTCTTTATGGCACCCTCACTTATACCTTCTTTACCTGTTGTCCCCCACAGACCACATGCTGAGTGAGTGGTATCTTTTTCACAGTTGTATCCTTACTGCCTGAGCCAGGACTCTGTGCACAGTAAGTGTTCAACAAGTATTTGTTGAAAGAATGCATGAATGAGGAAGCATTTGTATTAATATTTTAAAGACAGTCAATTTAATGCATAGACAAAAAGTAGTCCCTGGAGAAGGGCTACAGATTTGAAGGAGAGCTGTTTGATTTAGGATCCAGAAGGTCCTAGAACAGTGTCTGGCTCGCAGACACTTAATGAATATTTTTGAATGAATAGAATGAACCTAAGCAAAGATCTCTGAAGAATCTGCAGTGCTGTTGGGAGTGTGAGCAATTCTGTTTGTCTGGACTCAATAGTGCATGAAGAGAAATACTGATAAAAATAGTGTTAGCTTCTCCTTTAGCATAGGAGCTGTTTGATTAAGGCTCTTGCCTACGTTAAGCTTACATCTAGGTCACATAAACTCATGGGAAAACATCAGAACTCCTATCCAGGTTGGGCCAGCAGCCTCTGATGTTGGGATTTTTAGACCAAAAAAAGGCAAATTTATATAGTTAAGATCGTTATGTGATGTTGAAGGCCTTTTCAATAGGGACCCCTTTTGCTTAAACTGCATCCTGCTCCACGCAACCTGATGGCTTCTCTGGACTAGGATTATCTTGGCTGTAGTCCAGTCGCTTAGGTCTTTATGCCTAGAGCCTCAGTGGTTATAAATGCTCTTGCTGGCCAAACCCACAGACATAATCTGAAACCCCCTTCAGGGAGGTTGGGCACCAAATGAAACCTTAAATTAATTATGTAAGTCCTTTAGAGAAAAGCATTCAGACCCTTTGCCCAATGGAATTCCCCAATTGGCCCTAAAATTTATCACTCATTTCCTTGCTTTTGTCCCATTCTCCTCCTTCCTGGGTCCATTCTTCCTTGACTAATAGCCAGCTATAGCCTCCAAGAAACCTAGAGCATAACCCCCTCCGACCTTACTGTTCTTTGGCCATCTATTAATGTTTGACTTCAGAAAACATTACTGG